ACAGCATAGGACTAGAGCAGAAAAGTGCACCACTTACTGACTGGGACGAGTTAGACTTGCAGTTATTACCTTTAATTATATTTCAATAAGCCATGAAGCAATTTATCTCTTGAGAGTTTGGAGCTGCAGAGTGCGAACCCCTGATCTAGAAGATCGAACAGTGAGTCTAGCTTCATTTCTAATCTTCAGCTACATTCACACTGCAGGCCTTAATGATCAATTCCAAATTCTTGTGAAATCCGATTTTTTTTGCGTTGCCATTCACATTTCTAAATATATGCAACTTGTATGTGATCTCTGTATGAACTGTATTCATAAAGCTTAAGTGTCCCGCATGTGTGGTAGAGGACTCAATGATGTCACAAGCAAGCGTGCGTGGTGTTTACGGAGGTAAACCTGGATGGTATTGCTGGAGCTCATCTAGCAATCTTTCCCAACCTTAAAAACTCAATCTTTTCAAGATAGTTGAAAAAAAAAGTCTGCTCTCTGCATATCGTCTGCCATGGCTGTTGTTTTTCTTCCCGCGTCTTCTTAGCAAGATGCAGAATACTGACCAGGAGTTGGGTCGGAGCTCGTCTGCCTGGCTGTGTGTTTCCTGGACGGGGCCGCCTTTAACAGTTGCTTTTTGTATCTCTGCTTCTGTCTCCTTAAACCCCAGTCAGCCTCAGCAGATGGCCGCTCACACTGAAACTGGTTCTGCTGGAGGTTTCTTCCTGTTAAAAGGGAGTTTTTCCTCACCACTGTCACTACAAGCATGCTTAATGTAAGGGATTGCCTTCGCGTCAATGAGTCAATGAGTCAATGCAATCAACTGGTTTTCCTTAGATAGAAAACTTTGAATCAATTTGACTGTATGATCTGGTTGAATTGTAAAGTGCCTTGAGATGACATGTTGCTATATAAATAAACTGAACTGAATTGTGTCTGGCCGTTCAGACACAAGTCGCATTTGAAAAGGTCAGACTCGCATCTGATTCAGGACCATATAGCCAAGTGGCCTTTGCCGCATTGGAGAAAATCTGATCTGTGTTGTTCAGACTGCCATCAAAAGATCAGCTACAGGGCAAAAAAAAATCAGATTTGGGTCACTTCAGGCTACTGTGTGAAAGTAGGCTTTGTAAAAGTACAACTGCAAAGGTAAGAAATGAAATTTGTTGAAGCAACCAGTCAATTAAGGTTGATGTGCCAGAGTGTATCATCATAAAAAATTCTATCTTCAGTGGAGGAGCCATAACAGGGTCCAGGACCAATTCTATGGGGGCACTGGCCCCTGTTGACCCCTATCTAGAGCCACGCATGCTGTGAGGTTAACAAGACAGCTCAGTGTACCACCGGCTCCCCACTCCCACACCTAGAGCAGATGCACTCAAGCCTTTTTCTTCAATCAGCCACAAAGGTTGTTAAGAACCCACTAACTTTGTATGTAACTACAACATTCAGGATGAACTTTGATACTTTTCTTCTAGACCAAGAAGTTCTCTAGGATCCATTAGGAGCCATCTGCAGCCTTTTTTCATGATGGGTCTAAAGAGGACACCATCTCACACTTTTTTCCTCACTTCTTCCCACATGAACCTAAACACATGAACGCCGAGACGCTCAGGTCCGTCGAGCCGCCGCCACTTTCTCAGATATCCTTTAATGAGACGGCTCCCGGAGCCAACATGGCCGCTGCCGTGTCATTAGCAGTGGAAATGTGGTTGCCGGCAGGAGATGGAATATCAACAGGGAACGCCGCTGATCTCATGCTGACCAGGAATCCAGGAGACGGCGGAGAGAGAAAAACCTGCTGCTCGATTCTGCAGGTCCAGGCAGAGGTTCTGAACCAGCTGAGGTCTCTTCTATCATGTTTTCATCTAGGCTGGGAGAGATTAAAGCAGTTTCACAATAGCGTGAAGATAAACCCGAGGAGATAAAAATGATGAGTCATCTCCCAAAATAACTTTAACATGATAATTACTTTATCGTGTTCTGGGGATTTATTGTCTCTGGCTGTTAGAGGGATGACGGAATAATGATCCGACATTCAGCTAAACCACAGAACTATGAGACTTTCCTTTGACTTTAACGCTCACCTCTACTGGAGTCAAGAAGAAAATACTCATCTGAACTAAAGAGAGAAACCAGGTGTCTTTAGAAAATAATAAAATTAATCAATTCTTACCACAGTTGCATCCAGAGATTCATGAATATCAAAGCCTTTATTTCAGCAAAAGTTCTCGCTATTTTAAAATAATATATTCTTTGCCTTCATTTGACCAGAATACAACGCTGGAGGACGTCTCCTCCGCAGCCAATTGACTCCAATTATGGGTGGAATAGGGAAGCAAAGAGCAACCTGAGGTTGTCATATTGCAGAATTTAAGGAGGTAGCACACACCTCCAAGTTGCACCTTAGCTTGGGTGTGCTGGTTGCTGGGAGACCAAGGGAAATTGTTTTCTATGCTACAACGAGGATATAAAATATTTATGTACTAAAAAGAAAAATGCTTGATGGAACTGGTACATGGTGTTTGGATCTATCTAGAATTTTGCTATCTTTACATCTGTAGTTATCAGAACCCCTCTGGTTCAGTTAGCTTTAGGAGGAACTGCTTCCCTGATGTAGTTAAAGCTTGGGAAGACTTTGGAAGGGTCTGAAGAATCCAGGCTGTTTGTATGCAGAATGTCAGAGTCTAAAGCTGCTATAGTTGTCCTTTTGTTTCCAGGATGACCTTTTGACCTCTGCTGAAGAGGCAACACAAACACACCCCGACAGTCTGGAGGGTGATTGTTAGGAGGAAAGAAACTTAAGGAATGTCTGAGTTTGGAATAACAAGGAGCGGATGGTGCCAGCCGGCTCTGTTGACCCGCGCTGCTTTTTACGCTGCACGCTTTCTCCATCTCTTTGTGTGTTTCCCTCAGGTTGTGTTTGTCCAGTATAAATCTCAGACTGGGTCACATGGGTAAACTGGTTTACAACAGATGTGCAGAAGAATGCAGCTATTCGGATGTTTTTTTTTTTTCCCCCTTTGCATTTCAAACTGATTTCAGACTGAAATACTTCGTGTTTTGATGCAACCTCCTCACTCATCCTCCAGACTTAGATTAACATGATCCAGCAATTAAAAAAGATAAAAATCAAGCTTGCAAATAAACCTTTAAGGTAGCCTAAATGCATGCAGCTTTTAAATCAGATCAGGCCTGCAGATATGGTAGGAAAATGAGGGGCACCCCTGCAATGGCAACCATTCAGTGCTTGGTTGCAGTGAAAGACTTCCTTCCAGAGGGACTCTAATTATTAGCAAGATGCTGGATGGATCCCATACATGACGAAAGACGTTAGAACAGGAACGCAGGTTTTTGGGGGCTTTATCCAGGGTGATATAGGCTCCTAAAATTTCTGAAAGTAAAATTGGAGATCTTTTAGTTATCAGGCTCCTCTCCGGTGGAACCAACTACCAGTTTTAGTCCGTGAGGCAGACACCCTGTCTACTTTTAAGGGTAGGCTTAAAACATTCCTTTTTGATAAAGCTTATAGTTAGAGGGGCTCAGGTTATCCTGAGCTATCTCTATGGTTATGCTGCTAAAGGCTTAGACTGCTGGAGGGCATATATACCACTATTGTGTCATTCTACTTCATTCTCTCTCTATTCTCTCACTCTGCAGAATCTGTTAGTTCAATCTCTGTTTTGCTCTCTCTGCTTTTTCTCATAGTAGCTTTGCCTCGTCTGTTCTTGTTTGGCTGTGACTCCATCCTGGAGAGAAACATCAGCTGTGCTGCTGCCATCATCACCTTTTTTTAGATGTTAGAGATCGAGCTGTTTTTCAGTGTAGTCCTGTTTCTCTGACTGTGACTGGCTGGATGTGCTCTCTTCATCCTCTGACATGGGAGCTGGTTCGGAGCTCGTCTGCCTGGCTGTGTGTTTCCTGGACTGGTTGACAGTTCTATTTTGCATCTCTGCTTCTGTCTCCTTGAACCCCAGTCGGCCTCAGCAGATGGCCGCTCACACTGAGCCTGGTTCTGATGGAGGTTTCTTCCTGTTAAAAGGGAGTTTTTCCTCTCCACTGTCGCTACAAGCATGCTTAGTGTGAGGGATTGCTTCGAGTCAATGAGTCGATGCAATCAAGTGGTTTTCCTTAGATAGAAAACTTTGAATCAATTTGACTGTATGATCTGGTTGAACTGTAAAGTGCCTTTAGATGACGTGTGTTGTGAATTGGCGCTATAGAAATAAACTGAATTGAACTAGACAGCCCCTCTCTCCCTCATCACCTGCTCTTTTGAGGCACACCTGGTTGCCGTGACAACCCATTCTGTTTACCCCCTTGTTGTGCACTGGTTAAGGTCTGATGCATCCTGCAGCCGCTGTGACTCAGAGGAAAGACTCATAGAACTGGAAGAAGCGGCCGAGAGACAGCAAAGTTTCTGATTACACGTCTCTGTCTTTTTTCTGCAGTTTGGATGACTCCTTTTGGTTTCGGTTCCGGTTCTTGTCTAATTTTCCCTCTTTATGATCGATTCCTGTCTCTTTGAGTTAAACTTTCTCTGTAGTTTCACCTTTTAAATCAGATCTGTTTAGTTTGTCTGCAGCTCCTAAAATCGAAATTAATTTCACCTGAACATGCACTGGAAAAACAATCTAGAAACAAGTTAAAAGTCTTAAATGAAGTGTATTAACCCTTAATTTGAGTAGGTAAATGAGATAGTTTACCAATGGAATGAGTATTTTTACTCTTAAGATAAGATAATTAGATAATATGCACTTGAAATAAGACAATGCAATTGTGTTTTCTCATTTTAAGTGTAAATTTGTCTTATTCCATTGACAAAATGCCTCCTCAATTCGACAACAGATGCACTTATTTCAAGAAAAACTACTGTTCTAGATTTTGATTTTTTTTCCAGTGTGTAAACTCTCTCTAACTCAGTGTTAAACTCTCTCCTCTCTTTCTATCAGGTTTTGGACCTCCCTCTCCTCCTCCTTCCCTTCCTCTCCTCCTCCTCTCCCTCTTTCCTCCCCTCCTGCTCCTAACTCTCCGAACCGCTGCAGCCTTCTGTCAGATCAAGCTCCTGCTCCGTTTTTAATATTTTTTTCCTGACTTTTGGATCCGGCGGGGCTGGAGCTGGATGGATTCCTCCTTTGCTGGGTAGAAGTTGTCCCAGTTGATCGGACGGACTGGGATCTGAGCGCTTCAGGATTGTTTTTATTGTGATGCGACAGGAGCGAACCTGTGGATCAGTGGGTGAACTGAGCCGCAGGGAGGTTCATGTCTGAGGTAAGATCACATCCATCTGCTCTGGTTCTGATGCTTCTGTTCACATGAAAAATGAAGCTGACTCCATGAAAATGAACTTTTCCAACTAATCCTTGTGTTCTCCTGATTTAAAATTCAAATTTGATATTAAAATATGTTCTTAATGATAAAACAATAGTTAAAGTCAGTCTTCAGGTGATCACTGGAACCTCACGCGAAGCTTCTTGCACATTTAAAAAGTTTGATCACCTCATATTTAATTTAATAAAATAAATCAGTCGCGCATTACCGGCGCCTGTAATGCGCATCAGCGCCTCAGGGGGGCGCGGTTATGCGCTTTCTGCTGTTTGAAACCTGACTGAGATGTAGAGGTTTACTTCAGGTGGATGGATGATACCTTTCTTTGGTTTTATGTCTGAGTTTAAGGACCAGCTTTGATAGTTTCAGACAGTTTTCACTTTTCATTTGGGAGAGAACATGAGCACTGGGAGTGAAAATTATTTACTTACTTATTTAATTTGAGTAGGTAAATTAGATATTTTTATTCTTACAATAAGATAATAAGATAAAATGCAGTTAAAATAAGACAATACAATTGTGTTTTCTTATTTTAAATGTAAATTGTCTTGTTCCAGTGGCAAAATGTCTCTTTTACCTCCTCAGTCCAAGAACAAAAGCACTTATTTTAACAAAAAAAAAGACCTTTCTAGATTTAAATTTTTTCCAGTGAGTATCATCTGACCGTCATCCTGTTTGGCATTTCAGGCTCTTCTTTTAAACATAATTAAAAAAACAAAAAGAGTTCCCACACAGAAAAAAAAGTCAGGAATGTCAGAAGGTCAGAGAGAGAGAGAGAGAGGAGGCCAGAGACAAGCATGGGACAAAGCAATGCTCTCTTCCTGCTTTAGGATGAAATAATAAAACAAAATTCTTCTTTCTTACAGTAACAGTTACAAAGATAACAAAACAACATATCAGGCTGCTTAAAAAACAACAAGGAAACCTCTCTCAGACAAACAAGGAAGTTTCAGGAACTAAATCCTCTAAGATAAAATCAAACAAGTCCAAGGTCACCAGAGTGGAACTGATTTCCAGAAGCAGTGGATAAAATAACCGCCTGTTAGTTTATAGCAAAGAATCCTGCTTCTGTTTATCCATAAAAAAAAGAATAGATCCTCAGTCTCATACTTATAGATTTACAGTTTGATGGATTGATCTTTGTATAAAATAAACTATGCTGCAATAAATACATTCAGTTTATTTATAGAGCCCCAATTCAGAACACATCATCTAAACCAACTGCAGAGAGGAGTTAAGGCTGATTTATAATCAGCAAGCAGGTGGTCTGCATGTGTCACATTGAATGCAAATGTCCCCCCGCCCCCTCTGCAGACACACCGCTGCACCTCTCCAAAATTGTAGGTGACCACAGACAGTGCTGCAGCCAGGAGGCCTCTATCTACATCTAAATCTGCTCTATACTATATGTATTTCCTGTTTGGTGCCTTACCGGCTTGTTTCGTTTGTATGACCGCCATTGTGGAAAACGACTCAGGAAGATGGACCAGCTAGCAGAGCGAGGTGTGAGAGAACGCTGGGACCATTTTTCCACCTGGATCCCTCCTCTTTTTCGCCCTCATGTCCCTCCATTGACACACAAACTTGACCCCACTTCCTCACCTCCTCCACAGTATCTAGACCCACAGCTAGTTCCTGATTGTCCCTCTTGTGTTGAGGCGTGGAATAACATAGTGCAGACCACGCTTCAAAATTGGGCATAAATCAAAAATATCTGCAACAAGCTCACTGCGACACATTGCTGCAGGAGCTGGTGCTGTGTGGTGTTGTGGAGGATTTTCTCAAAATATTTGAAAGACCCACCTTCCCCACTTAAAAATAAATAAATGGGCATATCTCCTCGTGCACGTCTTATTTAAAAGTTGCTGTTCTCATAGCTCATACAAGATTACTGCGTCCTAACATCCACGCTAACCCCTAAGTTCTTCAATCAGTATATAAAGCTGGAACTATATAGTGAACTCAGTCAACTTACCATTGCGTAGTGTCAGCTAATGGCGATAGCTGGCTGCTGTGACAGCAAATCCCAGAATGCTTTGTGAGGAGAGCGCAAAGCATTCTGGGATATATCTGCCTCATCTGAGGCCTTTCTTTTCTTCTCATACACCTCGTAGACACTTTTTCTCTTATGACCCTCTGTTAATTTCAAAGAACCGCGGTGAGAAAGGTGAGCTGAAACCGTAGCTCACCACAGATAAACGCCTGAAAGTGTGCATGCGCAGAAAAAGATAGCTAACGGGGGACGAGCATGTAGGCTGGTCGTATGTCACCACAATGATAAGAAACACCACTTATTTAGATGAAATAAAAGATCATCCTCTATAGCTTTAAGCAGACCATCCCACCTTGCTGGTAAAAAGTTTTCATCTGATTGCCTCCAGTGATTGTTCTTCCCGACTTTGATTGTGGAGATATCAGATATTCGCTCTGATTTTGTCATCAACTCTACAGCAATGCCTTAATCAAAGCTAAAATAATTGTAACTTTTCGCTTAGCCAACTATAAAGCAGTGGTTCCAAATGTGGAAGAAACACCCACCAGGGGGCGCTCTGTGGGATTGCAGGAGAGAATTTTATGAACTGAATTAATAATCAGAGATGGCAAAAGTACTCACTTTCCATACTTGAGTAAAAGTACAGATACTTGTGTTAAAAAATACTCTGGTAAAAGTGGAAGTACTGATTAAACTTCTTTACTCAAGTAAAAGTAACAAAGTACAGGCTTGTAAATTTACTTAAAGTATAAAAGTAAAAGTAGAAACCACTTTTTTCATGCCGTTGCCTACATTTTAAATGGATGTCTGCCAATAGGACTAGATCTCCGTTGTGTTCATTTTCAATCATCTCGTCGTCCATACTACTATGCTAACGCCACCGCCACCAAGCTGCAATGATTTGCTGCGAATGAATACCGTCGAATCTGTCGATTCATCTTGTAGTGGTGCGTCAAATGCAACGTAGATTCCCATCCAATTAGATTGAATTTGGTATTGATGACGTGAAAAATAATAACGGTAACTCCATTGAAATGATTCAAAACTAAAGTAACGAACCAATTTTTTTAAATGTAAGGAGTAGAAAGTACAGATATTTGTGTAAAAATGTAAGGAGTAGAAGTAAAAAGTCGCCATAAAAATAAGTAGCAAAGTAAAGTAAAAATATCAGAAAAATCTACTTGAGTACAGTAACGAAGTATTTGTACTTCGTTACTTCCCATCTCTGTTAATAATAGATTTTGAAATGGATAGTTTAAAGTCATAGGGAAATCATATTTAAATGTCAAATCATTCTGCCTTAAACATGTATATAATTGTACTCTTTATCAGGTCATATTGTCCCAAAAGTTAGAAAATGTCTATGTTTAAAAAAAATCAGGTTTTAAAATCTGTGTTTTTTTTCTCGTTATCTTATGCAGGCCAGTTAGTTATACGTCAGCTTGTGCAGCTAAATTCGGCCAATCATATATAAACGGTTATCTGTCAATCAAATTTTTTTGTACATAGCATCTTGATTCATATGTCGCAGCTAATACTAATCTAGTATCTGATCAATGCACCACAGAACCTTCTGCCTGCTTCTATGTTAAGACAGATTATAGATCTATTTTAGAACAAGGTTTGGCTGTTTTCACTCAGTTTATCATTGAATAAAGCCAGAAATGTGATTTAGTTTTTAAGTGGTTATCATGGTAGAGGATAGTGGATCAGGCAGGGATGGTCTGTCAGACATGGAGATCATTCCTCAGTTGATCAGCTCACAGCTTTTGGGGAACTGACTGCATAAATGTTGGGATTTTTCAAAAATACAACCAAAGAAACGGGAAGAGTCCTGTTTGTGTTGGCTGAAGCTGCATGTTTGTGTCCCACTGCTTCCTGGGTTCCAGCCAATGAGACGCTTGGATTAGAACCGACAGAAACCATGATGAGCCCTCGCTGATCTGCTGTGTGTCTCTGTTTTGCTCTATTAAGCAGTCTGCATACAAAAAGAAAGTGAAATATCAAACGATGATGATGCTAAGCTTTCAGTTTAATGGGATGTTTGGTTTTCTTTTCATATTTCTCCTAAAAAGGCCCGATCTTTACCAATCTCTGGGTTCCTTATCACCCTCCCTCATCTCTCAGGGCTGACTTCCCTAGAAGCAACCAAGCTTTCCCAGAACAAACATGAGAAACTTTGACCAACATTTCTTGGTTAGTGGAGTTAAAACCAAGCTGAGGTCTTAAGAGGGCAAATAATGAAGAATGTGTGGAGAACTTTTATGATGACAAACAGGAAGCAGATCTCATCAGTCCAAATAAGCTCCTCAAAGACATTATAATGTATCTGAGACACCCAGAGCTTACAGGTTTAGATTTAGTCCCAGCTGGTTAGAATCATGTTAATCTAGAACTGGAAATGGTGAAAGGCTTCATGCTCACACACTAGTTCTTCCATTTTTAGGAAAATAACCTCCCCTGCCTCATTGTTTGGAGTGCTAATTGTTGCTGGACTTGTTATTTAAGGCTTTATATGTGATACCAATTAAAAAGTTTCTGAAGGGAACCTGTTTTATAAACTTTGTACCTTGATTTTAATATGAGAGTGATTATTTTGACTTCCAATGCTTTGAAGGAAGAAGGATGATCGATGTTTGATCCCTCCAAAGTAAAGCCTTAAGTTTTATCGGACCTTAGGATCTATCTATCTATCTATCTATCTATCTATCTATCTATCTATCTATCTATCTATCTATCTATCTATCTATCTATCTATCTATCTATCTATCTATCTATCTATCTATCTATCTATCTATCTATCTATCTATCTATCTAACTATCTATCTATCTATCTATCTATCTATCTATCTATCTATCTATCTATCTATCTATCTATCTATCTATCTATCTATCTATCTATCTATCTATCTATCTATCTATCTATCTATCTATCTATCTATCTATCTAT